GCCCTAAGCGTTCCCACCCTGGGGATGCGACCTTCCTCCTCAGTTAATCACTAGGTCAGGCCAACCCGGCTGCTGCCCTGGGGGAGGGTTCACTGCTCCGTCAGTATGTCAAGGGCCCTACGGCTTTCCGGGCTGACGCCGGCACTCGTGTGTCGCTACAGCACCGTGGCGTTATAGATGAGCTCTGTCCCTGCCGAGCTCCTCTACCAGGTGCGTTTCTCACAGAGCTGTCAGCAGCCCACACAGCTGGGGGCTTGTTCCTGGAAATAGAGAGCAGTAAATGCCCCCAGTGGCTCCCCAGCCTCTGGCATTTGATTTTTGCAGTGAGCAGGATTTACAGCTGACAATGTGTCTTGTTAAGCGGGGCAGGAGGGAGCTGATTCCCAACATGGACTCTTTTTATGTATCTTTTTACTTTGCAATTTCTTTTAGGATGTGAATAAAAATGGGTTCAGGTGACATTGGTGAGTTTATACAGCAGCATCTGGCACCAGAATTTCTGATCACTGCTCGGGGGGTGCTTAGCAGTGACACACTCACTTAAAAGAGCGCTGCTGAGTGGCTTTGATTCAGTTCCTGTTGAATTTCACAATACTTCCCTCATGCCACATTAAGCAGGGGGTGGGAAGGGCTCCCATTTATCAGCATGAGAGCTTTATTGCTGTACAGTGCTAGGCTTTTTTTTTTTTCCTCCTAATCTTATTTGTGTGTGTGAAAGTGAGTGAGTATCACACTTGTGATTAAACATGGGGAAGCTGAGGTCTTTGGGGAGTAAAGCTGTGTAAATAGAGGGCTTAGTGCTGGCAGATAGGCTGGCTTTTCTCTCGCTTCGGTCTCCGTTCCCTGCTCCACCAGCCTGTGCCCCAGAGATGCCCCTTTGAGCCAGTGTTGGTTTCAGGGTCGCCCATGAGCCTGTGCTCATGGTGATGTTCGGTTGTCGTCCTAGGCAATGAGACTCCCGACGCCAGCAGCGAGAGCAAGTTCTTCCTCGACCCTTCTGAGCAGGCGGCCGTCACCATCCAGACTCACTTCAGGAGATACCAGCAGCACAAGAAGGAGAAGGAGTAGACGCGCCAGCCACCCCTGCCCTGCATTGTCCCTCCTTCCATCTGTTCTGTACCCCAGAGAGACTTGCGGCCCTGATGGCTGTGACCCTGCCCCCTCATACATAGCTCTTGGTGTGTGCCCAGCTGTAGCTACCCTTTGCTGTTTGCATTGGCTGCTGGTCAGAGCAAAATCTCTTTCCTGGTGAGTCCTTCCCCGGGTGGCATTGACTGGTGGGCCAGGGTACCACCAGCGAGGGGGTGTTTGAGGGGACCTCAGTGCCCAGGTTGGTGTTTCCAAGCCTTTCCTTGGTGGCAGCCCCCACAGCTGTGGGTTGGCAGGCTGTCAGGGCAGCTACAAGCAGGAGCAGTGCTGGGGGCCTCGCTGAGCCGGCTGTCCTCGCAGCTGTGTCCCTGGGAGCGAGGCCCAGCACAGCTGAGAGCTGTTAGGGCTGGCCAACTGCCTGCCTGGGGCTTGGCTCTGCCCAGCAACAGCCTCCTCTGTGCCTCCGTCCTCACTCTTGCCTCTGGAGCCAGGGTGAAATGCTCTCCTTTATTCCCCCGCTCCAGGCGGCTGCTTTTGAAAGTGCTGTCTGTGAGCTGGGCGGGAACGGGACATCAGCGGCCGTATGCTGTAGGCAGCAGCGGGAGCAGGAGCCGTCTAATTCTAGTATTTGGGGTAGGTACCTGTTATCAGCAAGCCACCCTGTCCTGGCCTGCTAGTGCCGAAGATCTTGGAGCACAAGCTGAATGAGAGGAGAGCAGGCAGAGACCAGCTCCAGGTCTGGCAGGGACAGGACCCCAAGATTATCTCGGTTTCTAGCACCCCTTTTTGAGCGTTGGCTTTTGGAGGGGGCAGAGTTGTTGTGTTAGCGGGAATGTGGAAGCACAGTGGAGCTATAGGAGGTTTGCTGTGAGCAGGGTTGGGAAGGCAGGGCTGCCTGCTCACCAGCGTTTGAGCTGTTGGTGAGGAGATCCTGAGTGCCGTGACATGGCAGGTGTCCTGCAGCATGTTGTGGGCAAGGGAGGAGGCAGGTGTCCCCTCCAGCCACAAATATCTTCAGTTGGTCTCACGTGGGCTCTGTCCCCAGCTGCCCTAACTCACAATCAGCTTGTAAGTGCTGGTGTTTGGTCTCTGGGCTTCTTTTTGTACTTAGTTACTGCCTGGTAGTTGTGGCGTGCATCTGCAGTGCTGCTTGTGGCCCTTCTCTCAAGGCGTATTTGAGTCCAGAGCTTGCTATGGTTTGGTCCGTCTCTCTGGAGCAGGGTGAGCTGTCTGGCTGCGATGCAGGCAGGGCTCAGGCCTGAGCTGGCTGAAAGCCAGTAGCTATGTGTGGTTTGTAAGGTGGGGATTTGGCCAGAGTGCTGCACGGGAAGTTAGTAAAACCGACCTAAAACCAAACCAGCTCTGTTGATTTCTTGGTATTTTTTTTCCCCGTTTCCTGTTGAAGGCAGATTTTGGCTAGCGTGGCTCGAATTGTCTGCCCTCCATCAGCAGCCTGGTTTGTAACTGTGTGCAGGCTCTCCTGCCGAGAGCCTGCGCCCGTGGTAAAAGGGCAGGGGGTTCGTAGGGAGGGATGGGAATGCTGATGTCCTGTTGTTGTCCAGTGCTGGGTATTCAGGCTGTATTAATGAACTGTACAATGCCACAGTTTGTAACTGCTGGGGACAGTAAGGTGGAGAATTCTTGCTACAATGTAGAAGGGAAGCTGTACTAGCCGATTATAATAAAGACACGTTAATCTGTTCTTCCTTTTATCTTGCTAATCCACTTACTCTCGCAGCCAAGAATACATTTGCCTTTTCTTGCCTCTTCTATTCAAACTCTGGGATTGACATTTCAGAGGTGCATCATGATTGCAGAGCTGTAACACTGCTTTGAGATGGTGGTGGGTACTTGGCTCCGTACTTAAAATTGTACTGTGAAAAGGCTTTGAACTCTAACATGCACTGAGCCGCTTTTGCAAACCGCAGGAACGTTTTAGAGACGCGCTAGTTTGCATATTAGCACTTCCTTCTGGTCTTGGGGAGCAAGAAGAAGGGCAAGGACTGGTTTTACTTGGTCAAAGGAAAACACTAACCGGTGTAGGACAGACCCGATTACAAGACGTGTTATCGGGGGCAATGACGTGCTGCTGTCATTGTATGGACCCACGGGCTCCCTGGAGTAGGTCCAACAGCCTGTTGGGAGGGTTTGGAGCCCCTCTGCAGCCACAAGATTTCTAGGAGACTGTTGACCAAAAAAAGGCTGCGAGTCACTGCTGACCAGGGCTGTCCTGCTGCAGGTGAGTGAGCGCGAGGTCCCTTGGCGTGTTTATGAGCGACCGTGTCCCACGGGCACGGTAAGCTGGAAGTGCTCAGAGTCCCTCTGGCCACCCCTGCTCCTCAGTATTGTCCCTTAATGACTTGCTTTAGAGCAAGCCAGACAATCTGTCTCTGGTCCTAAAAGATGCTGTCAGAGCTGCTTAACGTGATCTTCGGCATTAAATTGCCTTGGTTATGTTCTGTGTACAAATGCTGTACAAAATCCAGGCACTCATTGCATGCTAAATTGGAAAATCACTATGGCTTTATTGTCTCCAAAAACCTGTTAAAATTGAATGCATAAGAAAAGTCATGCATAGAAGTAAATGTTATTCAGAACAGCTCTCGGGATTCATATTAAAAACAACAATCCTAAATACTGCAGAAAAAGCCTAACCCTGTGTCACGCGTGGATTTGGAGGCAGGCTGAATGCTCCTGACGGGACATGTCAGCACAGCCAAACTGGAGACTCCAGATGCAGGGCAATAACCTGGAACCACTTGCCAAATTCCTGGGACACGGCTGGACTTCCCCGAATGCACGCGGCTCCTCAACGCTCCTTCTGAAAGGCAGCGTGTGCAGCTGAGCCCCCAGCCGCTGGCAGCAGCAGAGCAGCTCACGTGAGAGGGTCAGGCAGAGCAAATGCAATGTCTTGAGCCAGACCATTTAGTTCACCCAAAAAAAAAAAAAGAAATCTATCTTTAAGGAAAGCTTTACAGGGGAAGCAAGGAGTAGATGGAGCTTTGGATGCAAAAACTGGACTGGGAGGTATTAGCTGAGGCACTCGAGGCAGTTGGCCTCATGGCCAGATGCCTTCCTGCCCGCCTCTCCAGGAGGTGTACTCCTCTGTGCCCTGAATGCTCCTTTGCACAGGACAGCTCCAAGCGTTACCGAAATAATCACCAAAACTGATAGAAATGAGCACAAGGAATTGTCGTAACAGCTCATTTCCTAAACCCTAAAGAGTGAACAGCTGTCAGGCTGTTGCCGAGGCATTTAAAACTCCAGCAGATTTGAAGTGTTAACGTTACTTGGAAACAACCAAATGCCAAAGAAGGACCTGCTGACCAGTGCGACAGCACAAGCGGGTACTGGAACTGGAAGCTGGAAACTGAAATAGCGGGAAATGGCACCAGTAACACTATGTTCTTTGCCTGTAATTGACTTGTTTGTTCAGTTAAAACAAAATCTAGGAGAGGTATTAAGGAAAGGTAATGCTGTATAACAAGTGATTGTAACTGATGTAGTAAAGCAGTGCTTCTTTCAAGAGTTGAAAAAGAACAGTGATTTAAAAAAAAAAAAAAAGTTATACGTAAATGTTACAACTGCTAATGTGAGTTAAAATGGAAAGCTTATCTGGTTACTGTAAGGAAGAGATGGAGCCAGTGGGTACCAAGCATGGCTTGAGAAGTGGTGAACAGTTGGAAATATTAGCTAGGAAATTGGAGGAAATAAGGAAACATATGTACTTGATTAGACCTTAAATAGCAGCCGAACCTCCTCTGGAAGGTGATCCCTGCCTGGGAAGCAGGGAAAGGGAAGGAAGGTTGCCGGCTCGGGGGGTGTTGGTGACAGGCGCTGCCCAGCGTTAGCTGGGCTTGTTCTCATTAGCAGTTGTGCGTGCAGGAAGGGGAAGGGTTTAATGCATTTCTTCAGAGGTTAATTGCTGTAACTGGGGAGAAAAAGAGGAACCGAGGTGGGGGAGCGTGCTGGACTTTACAACCTGGTGGAGCTTTGCCATGATTCGCTGCACTTTGCTGGAGTCACCGGACACCCTGCTGTGCCGCGCCGCGCCGCAACCGAGGCGAGCTGGGCTGAGCCGCGCCGCGCC